GAAGTTAGTACTGCAGCTCTTAGTCTAAGGCTAAAGTCATGAAAACCCAGAGCCAGTGGTGCAAGGCCTGCAACTCAGAAAGGCAAAGATCTGGAGATCTGTCCAAGAGATGAGGAGGGGAGGGAGGGAGGGAGGGAGGGAGGGAGGGAAGTTATTCAGCAGGCCTTGGTAATCCAGGCCTATAAATTGTCAAGAGGATCACAAGGTGTAGTCCTGCCTGGGCTATGTAGCAAGAGTATGGGGAAAAAAGGGGGAGCTCAGTTAGTAGAATGCTTACCTAGTGTGTATGAGACCCTGGATTTGAGCCCCAGCACCAGATAAAACTAAGGTGTGAGGGTTCCAGCACTTAGAAGTAAAAGCAAGAAGATCAGAAGTTCAAGGTCATCTTTGGTTTTGTAGATAGTTTGAGGACAACCTAGGCTATAAGACCATGTCTCATGGAGAGAAGGAAAGAGGGAGGGAGAGGAGAGAGAGAGAAAGCGTGGGGGCGGGATCTGAGCTTCAGGTTTCCTTATTTGAAAACAAATGTATAAAATAACACACACCAAGTGTAGCTGTTGTGAAAACTACATCAATGATGGGAGGAAATGCCTGTTTCTGCAAACTCTCATCTTTCCAAAGGCAATGGCTCTTTTGTGCACATAAACACTCTTAGTTTACCATGAATATCTTGTATACATAGTTTACTATTTTACCTAATCCTAACCTCTCATTAATTTGAAGATGTGAATCATCACATAAATAGCAGATCTTCCTAGCACAGTCCCCTCTCCTCACTCCCATGTGCTATATGAGAAAGAACAGTGAAATGAGTCCAGATTCCTCCCTTCATTTGCTGGGAGTGACTGGAGATGGAGAGAGGACTTAGCGTGCACAGGAGTGACCACAGCACACTGGTTCGACTGTCATCACCAATATTCGGAGGTTCTATGACCTTACAGTCCCTTAGCTTGTTTTCTTCGTAGGTCTGTGATCACTGAGAGGATTGAGTTAGTTAATGTATCTAGAACATGCCTGACATATAGTGGAGATTCAAGAATCATTTTATTCTTCTCCCAATTTTCCCATTTAAAGATCATGCATCCTCAGGGACCGATTACTGCTAACCAAGAAGGCAGAACCATCACACAGGGCAGGGAAATCCCTGCCCATGTTTCCAGCTCTCAGGATTTGGCCCTGCTAGATTTAGAACCAAAAATTCTGAGGGGTAATATTTCCCCCAATATTTGGAGCTTCCTGAACAAAACAGAGTCCCACCATGCTTAAAGGACACAAATTGGTGTTTTCCAGGTTGGGTTATAGAACACTGGATGACTCCCCATGTATCCTACAGGACCCTGTGGCATTGATGACTAAGCTCTTTTTTTCTGAATCAATCATTTATTTATAACCCTCATCACTTCCTCCTTATAAACTATGACTTCTGTCCTTTGCCCAACTGGGCTCTGCTTTCAAGGTTCAAAGGTAAATCGACCCTTTGTAAGTACTCATATGCAGAAGTGGCCTAAAACTATGTTCAGTGCCTAGAAATGTTTTTATAATCATGTAACAAGACCATTTTATGTCATAGAATGAATATGAATAGGTGAGATCAGTACGATTTAAAATATGAATGCTGAAGGAAAGCCAGCCCTCCCGGAAATGATGACACATTACAGGATTACAAAACTCTAATTAGAGCAGTACTGGTATAAAACTAAGCAGAAGGAAAAAAATGAATGAAATAGAAGGCAATGAGGCAGAAATATATCCTGACAAGTGAGTCATTGCAAGTCTCTGGGGAGACAAATAACTAATGAATTCCAGTGATACAATTAAATGACCATCATAGAGAAAAGCGAAAATAACCAAAGCCAAACTCCAGCTATTTTAAAGGAGCACAGTAATTTATAACCTTAACTTTTTTATTAAATGTACCTCTCACCACTCATCAAAGAAGCTTCTTTTACCAACAGAAGGAGACTGTAATAGTCCACAACCAGTCAAATGTAGAGCATAAGTGTCTGTGAGATGCCCAACCCTAAGAGACACATCTACAATGCAACCTCTATACCTAAGGCTCAGGGAACACAGCAGAACATGGGGCAGAGAGAATATTAATGCATCTCTCAACTCTCACCAGCAAAGCTTCCTCATACAAAAGATGGTGATTAACAGAGAAAATCACAACTTGCCAAAAATGTAGAGACTAGGAGACTGCAGAGGACATGTCCCTGGATGGGATTCCTATATTAAACCTCTGTGACCCGGGGCTTAGGGACCATTGCGGAAGAGAGGCAGAAAGAGCCAGGGATGGTGGATGACCACAGGAAATGGAGTTTTGGGGCAGCTTAGAAGTTGCTCATATGAACATACAGCTATGGTGACAGCATGCACAAGACACAAACTCAAACCAGACAAAAACCCAGCATGGAAGAGGGAAAGTGGCTAAGAAGCCCAACCTCAGCTGAGGAACTATTGGCAATTGATCACTGCTGGGTGAGGGAGAGTTGGTCTTCTTTAAGGGAGTGACACTAGATGGGCTGACCAGACTCCGGAGGGTTCATGGAGGAACATTTGGGGACACAAACTTGTCTTTGTAGGCCTTAACATACATGACAGAATGCATGAAATTGGGCAGGGGGTATGGGGATTGCAGATAGGGGAGGGGGTCTAAATATGATTTAGATGTGTTGTATGAAATGCACAAAAATTCAATAAAAAGTTCTTTAAAAGCTTAGAAAATGAGATGAGATAAAATT